TAGAGGACTTCTTTCCCTGGAAGAAGCCTCAAATGGCAAAGGATGTGCAAAATAAGAGCCTGAGAAACTCTGTGATGGAAAAACACCTGTATAACAGTTAAGGCTCTCAAGAGAGATTTTCCTTCCATTTGGACTTCTAACTCAATAATAAGTAGGGATGACATCATAGAGGAAAGTAAACTTGAAATACATATTCAATGACATAATTATCACCTTTTCAGTTTAAAAGTTACAATTTCATTATTTATTTGTATCATTATTTTAATGTTTCTAGGCATTAAATTGAAATATTATCTTTCAAAGAAATATCTACTTATATGAATTTATATCAACTGATAAAATGAGATGACAAATATTGTGGAAAGGCCTGGTGGTGGAATTCTGAAAGATATGCAATTATAAAAGACCCAATGAGGTACAATTCTACTCTGATACACATAGGCCACCTGAGTGGAAAGTGCATCCTTAGCTACTACTAGGTTTAATTATTGTATACATTCAGTTTAATCATCTTATGTTTCATAAAATACAGAATTCATTTTTTCATACTGCTTAAATTCTATATAAATCATTACCCCACTGCTTAAACCTTATTAACAAAAAGAAATTGAGACGTTTTTCTGACTGGGAATCCTTTAAGCATTGTATTTCTAAGAGATACTGGGTGTGTGTGTGTGTTTGTGTGTGTGTGTGTGTGTGAGAGTGAGAGAGAGAGAGAGAGAGAGAGAGAGAGAGAGAGAGATACTGGAGTAAGGGTGAAATTTCACCTCACCTCCATCAAATCTTTGTTTGCACCTCAACCTCAAACCTGCTCAGATTATCCCACTTGAAATTTGTCTTCACATACCTTACTTCTACCTTATACATTCAGAACTATCCTTTCTTTGGGCTATCTGTTTTATTTTTTTCAAACTGGATTTATTTAAAAAAAAATAAAATGTCCAAATCCATTGCTGTCAAGTGATCAAATTCACAGACAACCTCCATCGAGTTTTTGTGGCTATAAATCTTAATGTGAGAAGGCTGTTCCCCTTTCAGATTGGAACCGGAGGCAACTCACAGAATTGAGGGTAGAATTTCAACATATACAGACCAGGTCAAGAGATCTCCGGTAAATCATATTTAGTACTTTCTAAAATAGGAAATGATTTATTTATATATTATAGTTCTTCTTTATTATAAGTATATCTTCACCAAATGTAAACTCTATAATAGAGGCATAATTTGGTTAATGAATGCAGTCCAAAGTATGTAGAACACAACCCAGCTACTAAGAGATACGTAGTCATTTGTTCAAACAAGAAATAACTGGATTTTCAATAGTGATGCCCTTAGACCTTTACCACTGGATAACTTATGCCTCCTCCATTAAATATTAATAAGTATCAATAAGCAGATTAGGTTCCCATAAGTGTTTTTAATCATATATCTTGTCTGAAAATTATTCTTTAGATAACATAAAAAATTGTAGCCCAGAAGAAATCCTGCTGGAATGTAGAACTCAGTTTTAAAGCCTGATACTTTGTTTATAAAAAGGAATAAAAAATTCTCCAGATAAGTGAAAAAAAATGAATGAAGCACCCAACGGAAAATATTCGTAACTAATAAATGCTTGAGCACATTTTTTGCATGATCAGAGGCAGATTGAAATTTTTAAAAGATGGTAGCAACGAGCTGGGTTAAAATGCAATGTTTTAATAAAGTATACTATCTGCTAGATGGAAGTGCTTTATTAGGAAGTATTAAATTCTTGGAGCTGGGCTTACTGCATTGTTGTTGTTGTTATGTGCCATTGAGTCACCTGAGACTCATAGTGACCCTCTGGACAACACCCCTAAACTATGCTCTATCCTGTGCCAATCTTATTGTCTCTGACACACCTACCCCCATTACCTCAGTCACTGAATCAATTCATCTCATTGAAGGTCCTCCTCTCTTTCTCAATACCTCCACCTCCCCAAGCATGATGTCCTTCTCCAAGGACTGATCCCTTGTAACATGTCCAAGGTAGGCCCAGGCATACTATATAAACAGAAAACACAGTACTCTTCTCCTGTACCTCTTAGTTAATAAAACAATTGCAGTAAAAACCATCATTCCTTCAAGTCATATGATGATTTTTTAAAAATATTTACTAGGCCTCTCTGTACACCATTTTATGTTCCATTAGCACTAACAAAGTCAAATGTAAGAAGAGTCTCTGAGGTACATAAATGTATGTACCTGCATGAAGAAGTTTTTCAAAATCTGTAATTATAATACAACTGGAATTATTATTTTCTTAGGACATAATTAAAAAATAAAACTTATAAGGCAAATCCTCCCACTTAAAATATGTTAATACATTTAAAAACCACATTATGGTACACACAATCAACCTGATTTATGCTTTTCTTATGTAATACTTAGAATATATATGTTGTCACAACACAGTCAAGTTAAAATAGCTAAATTAAAACTACTAAATGGCACTTAGACAAAACATGTTTAATGCTGAATTAATATTTTTGGATACCTTAATGACAAAACTCAAATAATATATTATAAGCAACGATGAATTCTTACTATATAAGAGTGTAAAGCATGTGTCCATAAAAGGATGTAACTTCTTTGCTTAAAAAACACACACCAAAAACCCACAAAATAAATTCGTGATTTTTCCTCTAAAAGCATAGAGATTTGGTGACTGTAAGTCCAATTTAAGCACCAATTCAAAGGCAAATTTACACTTATCAATCAGCCATAAATCAAGAAAACAATGTTCTGTGGAACAACAAAATAAAGTTGAAAAAGTGAGGTATCTACAGAGACGTCCAAGTAATTAAAAATCCTTCATCTTCTCACTGCCAGAATACAGTATCTTCTCTGTAGCATTTAGGTTATTCATTACCAAACAGCAAAATGTACTATTGTAATCATATAAATTATAAAATATTTACTGGCATTATTATGTTTAGGCGTCTGCTTACATAGTTTATAGAATTAGAAGATTCTTTCTTTCCTTGTAATACTGTTGACAATACAGCTAATACATATGACTCTATTTATTGACCTTGTAGAAAAAACTCTGGGGCAACGTGGCTAAGCCTGCTAACCAAAATTTCAGAGGTTCAAATCTACCAACCTGCTTCACAAGGGGAAAAAGACAGCAGTTTACTTTGGTAAAGATCCACAGTGTTGGGAGTCCTAAGAATCAGTTCTAATATCATCTGTAGGGTCACTCTGTATAGGAATCAGCTCAGTATCAGTGGGCTTTCTTGTAGCCTAGTTTAATTACACAGGTGATGCCTAAGAAATTATTCTATTTTCTCTTTCAATAAACTAACTCTATGCAGATAGAGGAAGGGATAGAGGTTAAACTGATGACTAAGAATTAAAGGTATATTTATTACTTATTTAACAATCACTGATTAATTAAACAGTATTTTAAAAATGAATTCTCTATGTCTAAATCTTTACTTTTTATTTTTATTTGCATGCTTAGAAAACAGTACTTCTGAACCCAAATTTGTTTTTTCCTTTTTCTTTGCCTTAAAAGTATACTACATTTAATGCGAAGATTGGCTTTCAAAATGTGGAAGTGAACAACTGACTTCACTTTTCTGAAATTCGAGCCATTTATTCTTAGTTAATACATGGTTAAGTACTCAATTGTTGGCCAAAATAATGATAATTTTAAATAACATTTAGCAGAAATGATGAGTTTATTACTCTAATAAGGACTTTCATACTTGAAAATTTAAAAATACATATATTATATTTTGTAGAAATACACTATTAGTTCTAGATCCTAATAACATAAAATCTTATGTACTAAACAGTTTTCAACTGAAAACACAATGCCTAAAAAACATAAATATTGTGCTAACCTTCTTTGACCATAAGAAAAGAAAAATAAGAAACATAAACTTATTAGATTATCTATTATGTTTGTGTTCAAAAGTCTTTTAGTAATCTGATTGAATCAAAAATATTTAGGTGTATAGAATAAATATGTATTTTAAATAAATCAATAGGTAAATGTTAAAAAGAACACATTTTTTTCTTAAAAATAAAATTGAAAACTATCTAAAAAATAATTCATAATGACATTCAAAGATTTAGCTAACTCAACAATAGCATCTACATGTATATTAACAGAAAGAGGTTGAGCAGATAAATATATTTTTAGTATATATCTTTATAAAATATTTAATCTTTGTTTCGATTTAACAACAAAGCTTAGAAAATAACATTAATATCCCTTTTTAAAGAGAAAAGAGAGTTCTTCAAAATATTCGGTTTAAGATGAACAATTTTATATTTTCATCAACAAGCAGCTGTAAGTCATGAACTTATACAAAATGCAAATTTCACAGCTGCGGGTGAGAAAAGCTAGATATTTGAATTAGAACTCTCCAAAATCATCTAGCATTACTAGAAGCAATCTTATATTAAACATACTTTACAGCCTCATTTTAACAGTTCAAAAATATATCTTATATTAAAGAAAGAAAGTTTAACTTTATTTAAGTTGCATTCTGTAGACTACACTGAAGAGGAAGAACTAGGATCATGCAAGTTTCTCTGCAAAGTTGTGTTGTCTTACTTCTGTGTCAGGATGTAAAATTCATCTTCTTGGTCCACGGAGATTATAAAAATAATAACAAACTGCTGTAAAGTAACTTAGTAATTTATAAAAATAAATTAATACAAGATTCTCACATGAATCCTTCACATGCCTAGAAATTCACTAGCTTAAAAGATGGTTCTAAATATATTGGGGTTTTTTTTAAAGGAAAATAAAAGGATTAATAAGGCATTGGTATGCTAGTTGGTGCCCATAATTATCTTTTTCAGTTCCAAGAAGGTGTTTGGGGATTGTTTAAGAGCAAAAGATGAATGGTGCACCACTAAATCCCATTAAATCAATGCATGGACACAGCAGGAGCAGAGGTAAATAAGCGGTAGAGGTCTGAATACCAATAAAGAAAAAAAAATTGGTTTATATAGCTACTTACATCATAGCCCAGAAGTTCTGTCTGTGTGGACTTATCTACTGTTGAAGCAAAGGCCTTCTGTAAATGCCGTACTTTTTCCTGCAAAATGAAAACAACAGAACACATATAGTTCGAACATTCCTAATCAGCTTAAATATTCAGAGCTTTAATTTTTAGGTTGTCACTGCCCAAACTTTGCTGTCTTTTCTCTAGAACAGGAGCAAGAGTTGACTTCGAAAAAGGTGATTTGTTTCAAAGCAATTATATTTAAAATCCAAAATACTCATAGCAAAAAATACTGCCAAAAGCGTTTACGTTAGTAATATTACTTGATTTTAAATAAGTTTAAAAAGCAATGCATAGAGGATGTTTCTTATTTTTTAATTCATCCTTGGACATAAAGGGTTCCTTCCTGGGGAATCTTAATGTTTTACTTACTTTGAATAGCTTATTTATTTGCGTTTTCATTATGATTATCTTTATTATGTATATCTTTATAAATAATATCTTTATATCTCTTTGAAAACGGGAAGCATTGCATATAAATATATAGATAGGGCTCCACCGACAAATTATATATTGTAATATTGCATATAGTATTTATCATTAACAATACAATTTGCCAAAAGAAAATAACAGAAGATTGTCAAATGTTCAATTTGTTCTGACTTGTAAGTTGCAGAATAAGCAATATCATGATTTGACTGAAGTTCTGGTTCGTTTTCTTTTGTTGTTCCTAAACATATCCCTTAAAATTAAACCTTGTGCTTAATTATTATGTAGTATGTTTATTCTTTGCCTGTTACAGCTGAGAGGGCTGTATATCTATGATCACATCTCATATTGAATTGCTGACATTACTACTCATTTGGCAATGAGAACAAAAAAAATTTAGAAAGTCTGAGTAATTTGAGGAAATTCCAAAAAGTTCACATGAATATACTATATTCTGTGGCAACTGCTTAATTGTTGTTGTTGTTAAGTGCCTTCGAGTCGCAGGCGACTCGCAGTGACCCTATGAAGGAGAGTCCGCAACGCTTGGGTGCCTTTCATCCTCTCTCCAGGTTCATAGGGTTTCCGGAGGCAAGCTATTTTGGAAGTGGATGCCACTCCTCCTCCTTCCAAGAACTGCTTAATAGGGGAATTAAATTTGTTTTTTTTTCTTTTGAATGTTAAATAAAATACTCAGATATTCTTTTAATGATAAAAAATTGTGATTCCCAAAGAAGGGCGCTGGTAAGTTACCAAGAACCAACCTCATTTCCAACAATTTCAAATAAAACCTTTTTTTTTCTCTCTTCTTGCCTCCTTTGTTTTATTCTCACCACCACCCTTCTTTCTCTCTTATATCAGAGATTACCAGAATTATTAGAGCTGTCTAAAAATAATCATCTAAGAGCTCTTTTTTTGTTTATTAAAATATAATATTTTTCATACTTTTAATGTTTCAGGGAAATTTGATGGCACAATGTCAGGGATCTGAGCTGCTAACCCCAATGTCTTGCCTCCTGGTGGTTCTAATTCACTAACTAATCCTGAGGAGAAATACGGACACAATTGCTCTGTGGCGGAAAATGAGGCTGTCTTCTTTCTTAAAGAATCATAGGTTTAGAAACCCTACTGAGTTCTCTGGGAAGTTCTACTGTGTCCTGTAGGGTAACTATAAATAGACATGGACTTGGCAGCAGAGTTTTACTTCAAAATTTTCAAAGATGAGATGATGAAAAGGAAAATACTAACGAATGAGACTGAAATGGTAACTTTTGAGAAGTCAGACTAGATAGAATGAGATCTAAACCAACTATTCTTTCAAATATTATTTTAAAATTGTTGTTGTTGTTAAAGTGCTGTTGAGACATAGATGACTCATACCATCCCTGTGAACAAAAGACCTGATCACTCGTATAACTTTCTACATTTCTCCAATTTCATAGGGTTTCTGGAGGCAAGCTTTTTCAGAAGTGGATGCAACTCCTGCTTCCAAGCTTATTTTAATCGGGAAGCTCCACCAAACACTGTTCACCATGGGTAACAATTATCACATTTGACACATCAGTGTCACAGTGTTTTGCATCACAACAACCACAAGTTACCTCTGTACAGCAGATGGACAGACCAGTTCTACATCATTTAGAAGAATGTTTGATTATAAAACAATTAAAACCAGGCTTGAGGGCCACAGATTAAAATAACCGACCTTTGAGGTGGTAGCGTAACTTTCTATCCACCAGGCCCAGAGAGCTCTCTATGTTGGTGGTCGTGTTGTTAACAGCTGTCATAAATATTTTAAGTAAATTAGATTATCTAAAGATTGCCTTCATTTTATATTTTATAAGAACGAGGACCAGAAGGAAGTAATTTTTATAAAAATACTAAAGTATATTGGACTTTATTTTTCATGACCACCAATTAATTAACCAAAAGAGATTTACTAGGCTTCTACTTCAGTATTCTCCAGTATAAGCAGCCACTATAATTCTTTCTATTTTCAGAAGAATACTGGAGAATTAAAGCACTGCCTTTTTAAGTTTTTAAAATTACTTGACTTCTGGTCAATACAGTATAAATAAATCCATGTCATGATAAAACATTTAATTATAAGTTTTTCTTTACACAATTACAATATTAATACTTTTAAACAAAACACCCTTTTATGTCTTCTCATAAAAAATTAACAAAACATGTTTATAATCAAACCAAAAGAAATGAGAGAATATTTTAGAAAAATACAAAATTGGATAAAAACAAAATACCCCATTTCATATTTATATGTGTTGTCCAATTGTTCTCTGGTCATTATTCTAAAACCATACAAGTTTTAACATTAGGTAGCATTAGTACAGAGCTCAAGTGGCTCTGTCTTTAAGGTATGAAGCTTTTAAACAAAAGGCGGTGAAAATTCAAAAGTCATTCTGTGAGAGAAAGATAAGATAGAATGCTTCCATAAAGATTCAAAAGCTTGGAAGCTCTTTGGGGCAATTTTTGGCTGTCCTAATGAGTATGCGTCTGATACAGGCTATGGTTTTTGCAATCACTTGTTATTCATCAGAGAGTTGGACAATTACTAGGGAGGATAGAAGGAGAATTGACGCCTTTGAGCTGTGGTGCTGGAGAAGAGTATTGAATGTACCATGGACTGCCAAGAACACAAACAGATTCATCATGGAGAGGGTTAAACCAGGCTACTCCTTGGAGGCAAGGATTCTGGGGCTTCATCTGACATACTTTGGACATCTAAGGAGGGACAGGTCCTTGGAGAGGGACATCATGCTTGGGAGGGTGGAGGAACGGCGCAAGAGGAGAAGGCCCTCTATGAGGTGGATTGATTCCGTGACTGGGGTAATCGGGATGGGTGTCTCAGAGGCAGTGAGATTCGCACAGGATAGAGCAGGGTTTAGGGCTGTTGTACACAGGGTCGCTATGCGTCGCAAACAACTCGACGGCACATTAAAAGCAACAGCCTGCCATAAACTGCCAGAAGATCAGAGAAAAGAATACTCGCCTCCAAGGAGTAGTCTGGTCTCAACCTCTCTTGTACAAACATGTTTGTTTTCCTAGCAGTCCATGGTATATTCTCCAGCACCACAACTCAAAGGCATCAGTTCTCTTACTATCTCTAGTCTGTTCTTCAACACTTTAAAGAGATCCTTAGAAGCAGATTTGTCTTTTGCAATACTTTATTTGGTGTCTTGGCTGCTGCTTCCTTGCGTGGATCCATATTAAATTAAATCCTAGACAATTTAAATCCTCTCTGTTAACTTAGATGTTATTTATTGGCCCAGTTTTGTGGATTTTTTTTATGCTGAGAAGTAATCCATAGTGAATATTGTAGACTTTTTTTTTATATTGTAGACTTTTAACATCATCAATAAGGACTTCTTCAAACAAGCTTGTGTTACATGCACAATTCTGAGTTAATCAAAATCAATTTTATGCTTTAGGCTTTTTGAGAATCTCATCCCAAAATAAATATGGTCCAAATTTTAAAAAGTGACCCATATGGGATTTTTAAAAGATTTTAAAGCTTGATTTCATTAATAAAAAGTTCATTTATTTAATAACAGCATAAAAAAATCTACAAAGTCCATTTACATGTATGGATTTCCATGTATCCCAAAAGTATATACCACTAAGAAAGCACTAAAGTGTGATAAAAACGAAAACAGGACAAAATCAGCAGAACTATGAATGTTTAAGGGAAACTAAATATTACTAGAAATTGATGGGTCTGGCAACTATTTTTGTCTTATTTTAGGGCATATTTATATTATTTATCATTATTACATCCTCTCTTGATTAACGAAAGCATTATGAAAATGCTAAAATCTAACATTCATTAAGCTACATGAATTATTTTACCTTAGTATTAATATTTGTTCTTTTCTACTTGAATTGTTTAAAATTTTATGCATATAAATCTGTGTATTAAACCAAGCTGAAAGAAAACTATTCAATAATCACAAAAATTATGCCTAATTACCTACACAGAACTTGGTGCAATTCCTCAAGAAGATGAATTCTTTTAAAAATACAGCAATTAGCTACAAAATCTGTAACAACATAGAATGAATGCTTACTAGCTGATATACAAAAATTATAATGACAGAACTACTATATGAATATGTAGCTTGCTGGGGGAAAGCATCTTTGACTTACCCAATTTTAGGGGAAAATACTTGAAAAATAGTAAGTTTGAGGTGTGAAAAGAAATATAAATAATACTTTATGGATCTAAAAGTTAAAAATAAGAGGTATTTTTTTTCAAGGTAAGTTTATCTTTTAAAAAAAAGGATTGAAAGTCATTCAATAAAATGAAAGATAATTAATAAACTCTTCTATGCCAAGCTTAAGCTACAAATTAAATAGGTTAAAAAGAATTTCCTTGTCATTTTAGAGTGGACTTAATTGTTGATGATGAAATATTTAGATAAAACAAAAGCAAAAAGAAAATCATTAAAGTTGTTTAATGATGCTAAGAGCAAGGTTGAGTCCAAGAATAAAAATAAAACATTATAGAAAGAGCATTGTTAATTTCTACCCAACTTTAATGAGAATAGATCATTATAACATCAGTATAATTATAAACTGATGCAACATTA